TCTTCCAGCTTCCAACTTGTTGCTAGAGAGGCAGTCTCTGCTCTCCAGCTCCAGGTCTCCAAGACAAGCATCAAGATGAGCTCATTGACCCCGTCCAGGGCAGAAATCGCTCCGTTCTGCTTTCCCCCCGCCAGGGAGGGAACCCGACAGCGATGCCACGGGGCTTCCACGGGGAGCAGCAGCTCTTCCTCCGCCTCCTCCCACCCGCAGCCGTAGTCGGGAGCAAATCGCAGACCCTGCCGGTGGGGGACAAAGAATGCAAACTCCGTCCATCGGGTTTTTTTATGCGTTATTTATGCTTGCCCCTGAGTCTTGCTGTCCGGGCTGTATTCTAAAGCAATTCTGTTAATGATTTGCTTAATGTTCTCACTACACGCAGCTGTCCCGATTCATTCTTCTCAGAGGAACATGTCCTCCCTAATCCATTTTAAAGGAAATAAACCACAAAGACTAGTTAAGTGCCCCTAAGGCTTCGCGAGTCCAACATGTGAAGGCTAGAAAGGAGGAGAACATATTGAAAAAGAAATAGCAGGCCATTTTTCATGCAGTTATTTTACAAACTGCACGGCTCCTGTGAATAGCGAGGCCGTAGCCAAAGCCGGGTGCCCCCAAGAAATATTTATCTCCCAATAACTGCAATACTTGGCAAGTGAGATCACTCGCTACGGATGGGGGAAAGGCCACGGAGCCAAGAATGCTTCAGCCAGGGTGGACCCTGCTGCGGTCAGACCGGGCGCTCCAGCGCGGTGCCCAGACACGTCTCACCCCGCAGGTGACCAGGGCTCGGCTCGGTGACCACCATCACCTCTGCCTGGAGATGGAGGTCACCGCCCAGATGTCGGCACAGGACTCGTCCCGTTAGGCTTCACTACCCTCTTTAAAGAAAAAAACACACTCTGGAAAAAAACCCAACCAAACCACCAAACAACCCAATGCGACCAAGCGGCGACACAAAAGAGCAATTAGCGCTTCACCGTCTTCCTCAGCTCGAGCGCATCGTATAGCTTTAGGTCTCCCCAGTGGAGGGGAGGTAACGGGAGAGAGTTGCTCAAGAAGCCAAAAGAAACAATAGCGTCCCGGCTCTTCTGTTAGTCACCAGAAATCGAGTTATGACTAGACTCAGCAGGGCTCAGAGAAAAGAAAAAGTGGTGACTTCATGCTGGATCAGACTCTTGAAATACAAATGGTTTTTTGCTAGAGACTCCATCACCACTTATTAGAGTGTTTTAGGTAGGAGGGTGCCAAAAGCAAAGGGGTGTGAGGGGGAGGAAGGATAAAAACCACATCTAAAAGCAGGACGGTTGCTATTAAAACAGAAAAAAAAAATCTAAAAATTCCTGTTTGAATATTTTATTCTTAAACATGACAAACTTCTTCAGAGTGTTTTCACAAGTACTTGTGTCTGCTCTACGTGGCTCTCAGTGAAGCCTGTAGAAATGTGTTCTGCTTTGCAAAATATTAATTAAAAAGACCCAAAAAAAAAAAAAACCAAAACCAAAACCAAACCCCACCAAAACAACAACAAAAAAAAGAACCACCCCAACAAAACACAACTTGCTGTAACAGCAGCAGTACTTTAAGGCAGCCCCCGTTGGGGCAAGGTACACCCTGGGGTAATGGCAGGAGCTGAAAGGAGCGGAGGCGCTGGGACCGGTAATCGGCATTTTCCTTTGGGACTGGTTTGGGGTGATTTCTGGAATGTGGAGGCCGTTTCCTACCGGCTAAGCCTGCTCTATGAAGTCCTGGTCTTCCTCTCGCACTGACTGCTTCGGCAGCTCTAGGGAGAGGCGCTTCGCCGCCGCCTTCGCTCGCTCTCCTGAGGACGAATGGAAACACCACCAACCCCGTCTTGTTCACCTCCCCTCGCGCCCCACAGCCGTTCCAGTTGCAACTGGGAAGGCAGAAAACCAGAACCCCCCCTCGTTTCTTTTTCCTGTTTCTCGCTCTCGTTAGCGTGCAGAAGGAGGAGTGCCCAGGTAGGACAATTTGGACATTTACGGTCTGTCTTCTCCTGCTCCCGCCTGGGATGCTCTTGCTAGTGCAACATGAAAGCAGAGACCCACACCACTCTCGACAAGCCTCGTGTGAAGATCACAGAGCAGAGTATCAGTGCAGTAATACTTGAAATACTGAGACAAGGCAGACGCCACGGCCCTCCTTCCTCACAACGCTTTTTCAACTAGCTTTTTTTTTTTTTTTTTTTTTTTTTAAAGTGTGATCCAAGTCTCCATGCAAGTCACAGAAGGCAATCGCGCTTCCTGCATTCACATATAGGAATAAATAGCTCTGGATCAGTTTTCTTTATGGCCGGATTACAGAACCCCCTGAAATACTGATACGCTTATGAACAGCAGCACTGTGCAGTTCCGCGAGTCTCCTTGGACCGGGTGCCAAGTTCATCTTAGGATGCCGGCGCATCTCCGAGGCGTATGGCCCCAAAGAAAGTTGTGTGCTTGCTCATGTTGATGGAGATGTCGGCATGGACCATCTTCACAGCGATCTTCTGCCTGGCCTTGAGGAGGCAGACCCCGGCTGTGTAGCAGGTATTGAAGTTGGTCTTGCCGGTCTCAATACTCCGAGTGCATTGCAGAAAGGGCTTCTCGTCCACCACCACCTCATAGCTGGCAAAATCTGTGAAGTTTATGTAGTATACCTGATGTGAAGCAGGAAGAAGAAAGGTATTAGGGAGCGTATGTGCGCCCGGGGAACAAGTCCGCGCTCCTTTCGGCGTGTACAGAGACACTCCCTCCGCGAACGATCCCTTCCCGGGACGCCTGCGCTCACGAGAGGTTGGCTTGTTCCCGGCAGGAGGAACCCCAAGCCAACCCCACGCGAGGAAGCTCCGATTCCACTTGACGTGAACACAAGCATGCAAGCGCCCGCCAATCCACGTGTCTACGGCTGAGCTATGCCTCCTCGCTTTAGACCCTGCTTATTACAGGAAAAATTACAAACCTGTGCCGGCCTCATTACAAGAACGCGTGGGCGACCCTCTCTGCTACGAGCAGCTTTTCATCCGACAGACAGACAGAAATAGTTTAACTCAAGTCCTCTTGCACTTACCTTGCCAGTCCTGCTCTCTGGGTCCCATGAGCCTCCTTTAGTGCTGGCATCAAAAATGCCCTAAGGTGTACTGGGAGTTGCCTTCCTTGCAATTGGGCTCGAGGTGCTTTCAAAGGCATAAGCTCTCCCAACCTCCAGGGAAGTGAATGACCTTACAGGGTTTGCACTGACTTAACTCTTCGAGCTCACGCCTGAGTCCCCGTGACTTCGCTACTCGTTACTCAACCATCTCCCAGGCGCTGATTCTGAAGAACTGCCTGAGGAAGACTCACCCAAGGAGAAGACAGTCCCAGGGAGCGGGACAGAAGACACTTGGCCAGTTCGGGTGCATCTGCTAGTTCTTCTTAGCCTACACCCTGCGACCACAGAAGCTACACAGGACTGAGTCCCCTTTCCCTTGATGGACCACAAAGGACCGAGGCTTCAGAGGCTCAACTTTGTGGCCCGAAATTAGCACGGAGCGCTCAGGAAGCAATTATGCTTTGACCCACACGGAGTTATTTTTCCTGTCCTCACCCAAACCAAGCAGCTAACCAGGAAGAACACCTAACGTGGCCTCCACAGCCCACGTCATCCGACTTGGTACGGTCCCTGTGGGGCCAACTAAATAGGATCACAGAATCAAGAGGATCTTCAGAGGTCCCTTCCAGCCCCTACCACTCTGTGATCCCGTGCTGCTGTGTATCGCGGGACCGTTTAGGTTGGACAAGACCTTTAAGATCACTGAGTCCAACCGCTGACCTAGTGAACAGAGGCAAATCGTGAGCGGGAGGCAGTACGAGAAGCCTGGAGCAAGGTGGAAGTTGCTTAGCTGTGGCTGTCACACAGAAACCCGCTTGTTAGCTAAAACCTGCCCCAGAACGTGGCCGGTTTTCCAGGGGCAGGTGGGTGGACACCCTGCACGCTCTGGAAGCCCACCTCCTGCCTCTTGAACAGGGAGAGGAAACGATGCCTCAATCAGCTGTATCACGATACAGCAATTTATTGCCTTGCTCAGCCCTTTTTAACAGAAGCGGGTCCGTACGTCCATCCTCGGTACCAACTAACGCAGCAGCCGAGCGGCTGCTGGCGCGTCGCCTCGGCCTGAAGCTACACGAAGAATGTGGAGGCAAAAAAAGGAGTTACCAGGGCTGGAGTTTGGCCAAGCCACGCGGGGCCGGCAGTCCTACACTTACAGAATGAGCTCACGGGTTGTCGGGGGTTTGGTTTGACAGAGCCTGGCACCCCTCGCTCTGCAGGGAGGGGGCGAACGACTACACGGAGGGGTAACATCTCGGTCGGGCGCCCGCGTTTTGGGAACTAATCCCTGGCAGCCGGTGCGACAGGCGATTCGGGGAACGCTCCCGTCCTCCTCCGACCCACACACATCTCCTGGAGCACGAAGCGGTTAAAAATACATACAGGTTTCTTGGCATCGGGTAGATGTCTGGAGCCCTCTCGTGGTTCATGCAAAGGCTTCCAGCGGAACACAAGAATAGGAGTTAGGCCTAGGACCGTACTCACTTCTACCTGACTATAGATGAAGTATGTGCCGTCCACCAGTACCTCCAGCTCCCCGCTGCGGGCATGCAGCTTAAACACCTTGGGGTTCATAGTGATGCGAGACCAGTCATTGAGGACTCCACCTGAAAGATCTCAGTATGAGAAAACGGCAGTCACTCAGTACCCGTCAGGATGAAAAGCGCAGGAGCACAGAAATACAGTGACATTGCAAGGGTTCCTACGGCAACGGCTGGCGCCGGCTCAAGCGGAGAAGTCAAGGAACTCAGTGAGAAAATCCCAGAATTAAAAGGACTGCGGGGCGTTAGTTGGGACTCCTCTCTATGGCTCTAACTGCGCTGTTGCTGCTGGCGGACGCCCCTTTCGCTCAGCGCACAGCACAACTCATCGCCATCTCTACTGGTCCTCGTCAGGTTTTTCCCAGGTTTTCTTAACCCACTCGAGGGGCCAGAGGCCGACTTTTCACGCTGCCTCTGTATGTTCAGCCACAGATCCCAAAGGACTTATAACAGCGCTTCTGAATTCGGGCGCCTCCTGAGGAGCATCTGCTCGTGGCCCTTGTAAAAGCTTTGTTCCTGGTGACTTCCCTGGCACCACGGAAGGACTCCGTAGGTTCCAATTACTCCAAGAAAGACCCTCAACCGACATCACCCAGCTGTTAAACCTCTTCCTCTACTTCCCATCTCATTTAGTCCCCTCCCCACCCACCCAGCTATCCACTGACGCTTCAACAGACACTACGCTGAAGACCACGTCAACTGTAAAAGCTTTGTTCCTGGTGACTTCCCTGGCACCACGGAAGGACTCCGTAGGTTCCAATTACTCCAAGAAAGACCCTCAACCGACATCACCCAGCTGTTAAACCTCTTCCTCTACTTCCCATCTCATTTAGTCCCCTCCCCACCCACCCAGCTATCCACTGACGCTTCAACAGACAGTACGCTGAAGACCACGTCAACAGCCACGTCCTTGAGGACCACAGCAAGGCTGGTGACTCCTGTCCTGAAGGGAGTGGGACTGGATGTGGCCAATTTGCCTGCCCCCACCCCCCAGTGCTGCTGGGCTGGAGGATGTTCTCAGCAGAAGTGTCCTCATACAGCTTCACCCTAGAAGAAAACTAGTCCTTGCAGCAAAGGAGACAATGGTATTGTGGAAAAAATCACATGCAACTACAGGGCTACACCAGTGCAACTTAGGGTTACGCAATGGATTTTAATTCTGGTGTTCCTTGACTTCAACATTCTTGACTTTGTAAGTAGCAGCCTTTTAACAAACGCTTCGTCATGACGTTTCCTTGGTTTTCGAAAGCCAAAATAACAACAAAGTAGGAAATCGCATCACGTCACACTGCGTTAACCCCTAGCTGAGCTCCTCAACACCTTCAGGGATTCATGGATCCACCACCCAGACCCTCTGGCATCGGAATAACCCACAACGTGAGCAGACCCCTGCTCTCTGGATGGGCTGACAGGAGGACACCCACGAGCCCAGAGCGGAGCTGGTTCTCTGTGGGTGCCTCGGTGTTATCAAACCCGACTCCTTTTCCTCCCAGCTCCCATCATCTGCTCCCAGCTCCCCCCCCCAGCCACGAGCCAGCCGCCCCGCGTTTTTCCCTCGGCTGGACAGCGCGGATGGCTCGCGGCGTCGCTTTGTTCCCGAGCAGCGGGGAAGGACGCTCGCGGGGCAGCTCCCACTCGTGCAGGGAGCAGCGTACGCTCTGTGAGCTTCCAGGCTTCCCAGGAACAAGAGGGAGAATTACTTCTTGAGCGCAAGCAGAACAGCGTCTTCTCCCTCACGTTGCTCTTGGGAAGGGCCAGTTGCCTTTTCATCCCCCTGCCCCGACGTCAGCCATGAGAAATCTCAGCTCCCACGGCTCCGCGGGGGAAAAAAAAGAGAAATCTCTTGTCCTCCCCACCTCTGTGCCCTCCCCTGCCACAGATTCCTGGGAAAACTGGAGGAAAACCAGCACAGGCTAACGGGGCTGAGGCAGGAGAAGGACAGACCAAGGGCTTAAAATGGGGAAGAGGAGGGAAACTGGTGGTGCAACAGCACGTTGGACGACACGTATCTGGGGGTGAAGGAGAAGGGATGTTTGGCGGGACAGAATTTTGGGGATGTACAGGATAGGGATAACTGGGAGATAAACAACCTGGGGAAAGGGGATGGAGACTTGACAGGAGGCACCTCTAAGGGGGTCTGGGCAGGAGAATCAGACTGTTTCCAACATCAGGGACAATGAGGGACCCAGGGGACGGGCTCGGGTGCAGATACGTGGCTACGGGCGCGGGACGGGCTCTTTTCAGTAAGTGCTGCTATCGTGAGATCCTTACCATTCTTCACTTGGATCGCCGAGCCTTGCCCTTGGAGGTGGACCACAGCGGGCTGCAAACGAGATCACGGGGATTTAAAATTAACGGGAAACACCGCGCCGCGTTACGGTCACCTCATAACCCCCCTCCCCAGCACTGGTGACCAGCACAGAGGCATGATTGCACCCCAAAATAATTAATGCTTTTCATAAATGTAAAAAAATAAGATCAGATCAGCCGACGACAACACGTTTAAGGGTGGGAGAAGGGGTGGGAAGCCCAAGCCGGATTCACGTGGCTTTCTTTTGAGCAATCAAACGGGTGAGCTCGGGCAGTGCTGCTGTGGTTTAGCACACACAGGAAGGGCTGTTTTGGTGGTTTTTTCCCAGAGCTATACCATCAAACACAGCACTAACAAACATAGCCAGTAACGTTCACAAAAATCCAGCCCTTGACAGACGATCAACCCACCTGGATGTCTCTGGAACCGGCCTTGTCTGTGGCACCTGCAAAACGCAATTTTCACATCACTGAAGAAGAAGCTTGGAAGAGCTGCAGTAAATACTCCTATAAATGAAACTTCTCTTACCCCCTAATAACCACTAAACCCCCATTTTGAACAGTAAAAGGACAGTACCAGCGGTGTGGGGTGTAGCTTAACCTATGTAAAAAAGAGCCACCTGACTTTTTGCTGGTTTATTCCTACATTTCTGCGCTAAACGTCATCAGAACTCCCCGCCGCCGTCACTCAACCAGTTTCCACTAGAAGGACAAATTGCACAACCCTTTTCCTGACCGGCGGAGGCAAGAAAGCCTCTTGGCAGCCCAGATGACAAGCTGCCCCCTGCAGTAACTCAGGTCATTCATTGCATTCAGGCTACACGCTGAAATTTCTTTTCTCCGAGAGCCAAATCCCTATTAAGGAGGAGATGCTTGTGGGCAGAGCTCTGGAGTGCTAAGGACCTCCTGCTGCTCCCGGGCTCTGCTTCGGCAATTTCTGAGATAGCAACTGAGAAGCCGACCAAGTTTTCCTTTGAGAGCCGTGCAAGCTATAGGGAAATAGTCCTGATTCATCCAAAGATGGCTTTTCTAATATTAAGCTGTTCATACATATAGATATAGACATGGATATAGATATAAAGACACTAATGTCGATTTCCACTAATCCGCATTTTAAAGGGTTATTAAATCCAGGAATTTTGGCAAAAGAATTGGCATGTGACGCTGAGGAGAAACAATACGCTGTGGATAGAAACAAAGAAAAACGAAACCAAGGACTGCAGGAGGAAGAAAAAAAACGTATTTTCATCTGGCCGGGATGGGAGGCAAGCTGCCTTGATTGCTGGGCTAAATCCTGGTCCGGTGCAAAGCCAGGCTTTGGGTCACTTTAATCAGATCTAAGGCAAACACGGAGCCGCCAAAGAGCAACCAAGGCTCTGCAGGTCTCCACAGCGGTGGTGGTGGTGGCACCCCCCGTGTCCCCCCTCTCCCAGCGCGCAGAGGTTCTGAGCAGTTACCTGAGGGACCCTGCAGTCCAGGGGGTCCCTGAGGACCCGGAGGGCCAGGGGGGCCGGGCGGTCCCATGACAGTTGGGCCGGGGATTCTCGGGCTGCCAGGTATGCCGGGGGGACCCTGGGGCCCGGGAGGACCTGGTGGCCCTTGGGGACCGTTGGGTCCTGGCGGACCAGCCTTCTTCCCTGGAAAACAGAAGGTCAAACGTCAGCTTCTCCACATGCTGAGCGCGGGAGGGTCTTCTAACTACAGGAAAGCCCTGGGAACCAGGAGAGCAGAAGACAAGGGGTGGCCGGTCGCACCCCAACAGCAAGGGCAGGATGCTCCTGCTGCCCAGCTGCATGTGGCAACGCGGTGAAAGCAGGAGTATCAAAAGCAGAGAACCGCTCGGCGGTTTCTCCATTTTTTCACAGAAAACAGGTGCAACCTTTTCTACCTGCTGCCTACACATGTGTTCTGTAGGATCCCCACGGCTCGGTCTCCTCTCCGAGGGAGAGAGGTGCCTCCAGAGGGCAGTTCAGAGCTGAGCTTCAGCATCTCTCCATCTGCTGAGCACCGAGGGCCACGGATGCAGGAGGCATCCTCAAAGGGATGGATGCGGGAGGCATCCTCAAAGGGATGGATGCGGGAGGCATCTCTGAGCTGAGGGATGCAGGAGGCACCTCCGAGCTGAGGGATGCAGGAGGCATCTCTGAGCTGAGAGATGCAGGAGGCACGATGCGAGACAGAATTAAACACTTTTTGAAATGACTGCAGCAGTCAGGATACGAGAGAATGGTTATCAGAATGGTTTCTGAGTACATTTATGTAGTTGTTTATCTCCTCAATCTCCATCTCTGACACGGAAGAAAAGTATAAGGAAAAACCTGTCTGTTTGAGTCAGCACAGAAGTGGAAATCTCTAGACAGCCACTGGCCATGAACCAGGACATGTGGAAACCAGCGTCGGGCAACCGCGTGGTTTAGTTTCAATGTGCAGAAAACTAAGTTAAAGCAAGCACGGGCGATGAAAGTCATACTGGTATCCTCCAAACGCAGGGCACAAGCTGAAGGGGACAGCTCGTTCCCAGCAGGATTTCTGCCCAGATTAGGAGCCGCGCCTTCCAATCCGAGCTGGCCACGAGCCCGCCTCCCTCTAACCCAGCAATTCTCCTCCTCAGGAGAAAATTAACACCCTGCATCGAACCCCTTCCTAAAGCAAACTTATTAAATTCTTTTCGCTCGCATCTCCTCCGATCCGGGCCCATCCCGTGCGGCAAGAAGTCAGGAATCCTGCTGCCGGCTCTCCGGGCTTTCCTTCCCAGGAGGGACGCGCGGTGCAGCTGGTTTAACTCATCTGCCTCCAAAATCTGCTCTGCTACCAGCCGGGCTGCTAGTTCAGCGCTACAACAACTGCACATCGTCCCGATGCCGTGCAGGGACACTGATGTTCTGTGTGTGGGACCTCGCTTCTTAAAAAAATGCAAATAAAAAATGAGATGTTCGGGAATGCTCTCGATTCATCTCCTTAACCTCCAGTCACCCCCGTCCCAGCGTGCTGAGTCTCCGTCTTTACCCCCGTGCAAAAGACAGCTCGGAAACTCAACCAGCAAATTTTCCCCAACAATAAGCTCTGACTCTTAAAAAAACCTAAAAATCAGATGTGACAATACCATAAAATTAAGCTGTTTTATACAGAGCCACAGCTGTATATAATACAAGCTTCTCCAGACCTGCTCCGAATACCACAGTCATCATTTGTTATTAGTTGGGCTGATTTAACATGGGTTTGGGGTTTCAGAGTTTTGCTAGGACAAACTTCTCCAACATAAAATTTTATGCTGCTTTGGAGGGTAAGTATAAACTAAGTTTCCAACTGTGGGCTGCCTCAACCTCTCAGCCATAGATGTGGAGTTTGTACCCAAGGATTAAAAACCATCTGAAGTGCTCTGGAAGCAGCTCAGACAGGCAGAGGGAAAGTAAAGTAAAAGTCAAACTTACCCTTTTTCTTGTTTTTAACTGAACTTGGACCTAGAAAGAGAAAAAAACCAGAAAACTCGTGAAATTCTACTGAGACCCAAACCTGCTTTCCCCTCTCCCGAATGAGCAACCTGTGATTAGAAGAAAATTCGCCTGACCCAGCTCTCAGCTGAGAGTAAGAACCCGAATAATTGCGACCCAAGCTGCTTCAAAATAACAATAAATTACTAAAAAATACAAAAGCAAAGAATTAGTATGAACCAGCTTATTGAAGCAATACACACCTCCCCGGCAAGAAGTGAAAATAGTTATAGTGAAGCTGAGAAACCGCACGAGGTTTAAAGCTGAAGGGTGAAACACGTTCCGTCAATTAATTAATCATCGATGGGAACGAACTGCAAAAATCTCCGAACATTCCCTCGGGGTTTATCAGCGAGATCCCTCTAAAAAGTGGTTTAAGCACCACTGAAGATTGAAATCACCTTTAAACTGAGATACCTTCTCATCTGACGCACCGGCGGGTTACGAATATTTTCAGCGAAAATGGGCGGCATAATTGAAAAAAACCCAAAACACGCAACCCCAAACCAAACAACAAAAACCAAAAACGAAAAAACCAACCCAACCCAGCACGGCGAAGGCGTATGTGTCTCTTCAGACCTCGGAGTCACGAGAGTTTATTTCATGTTATATATATCACACCATTAGCGCCATAACCAGAGTGAAAGTACAAATAGCTGCGGCGAGCCAGACACATTGGGGCTGGATGGAACCAATTAGCTTCAAAGATGAATGGGAGGAATGAGAACCACATGCGACGTCAATGTTCGCAGTCCATATTACAACGCGCGCATCTGTTCCAGGCACGGCAGAGAGAGATGTTACGGCCGGGCAAGTGAATCTCCTGACAAAACACAAAAATACTTCTGACACGAAAGAGGGGAGGCGGGGGAAAACCAACCCAAAAACCCCACGACGCAGCATTATTAGCCCTGGGAGCTTCTCAGCGCTGGGGTTTGTGTCTGTTTTGTCTCCCCAGAGGAGGGGGGGG